GAGCTGATAACTCTGGCCAGTGCAGCTGTCACACAGGCTGCCTATAAAACACACACACAAAAATTACTTTTTTTTCCTTTTTTTAAATAGAAGTAAACAAAACACCCACCACAAATCTCTAAGCATGCTAGAACTAAAAAATATACCCTTTTTTTTGATGGTGTAAAACCCTACTGCTTCTCCATTTTGCCAGAGAATTTTGCCATGTTCCCGCAAGGAATAGGCCGAAAAATATAGGTCTTCTTCAAGAGACCTTTCCAGAATTCCAAAAATAACTTGACTGAGCAGAAAGAGCACAACTCTCTCCATCACTGATTCCACCTGGAATGACAAGGACCATCAGAGGCTTCATGGAAATGGTGACAATTTTAAGATTATGACATTTCTGGTCAAAACATTTTGTTTGCAAGGCTAACTGTTACTCACTAACAAAAGTCCACGTCTTGATTTGTTTGAAGTCTTCAAAACATCACCAACGGGCCACCATTTGCCTAGCAAGTACAGAGCAACCACTAAAAGAGTAGGCTATAGATTATCCGAAATGAAACAGAATGACAGAAAACAGGTGAAATGAAAAACGTAGCATGCGCAAGACCTTTGGTTTCATCCTCAGGTGTGTGGAGAGCAAGAATGTAATGTGATAAATCCCCATCTCTCAGAAACGCAAGTCGACCAATGTTCTCACAAGTTACTTCCACCTGTTATCACAAATATCACACTTTGAGGAACTAAAATGAGGAATTTATCTCAAATTAGTAAACTGCCTACCCACACAGCATTTTTGGTCATCATAGATGCTGGCTAGGCAGGCAACTAATTTTTGAGACAATATAACTAAATTCACTATTGAATGCAAAAGTGTATGTTCTGACTTTCTCTCCGTGTGGAAGGGTGAGAGGGACAGCACCATCTGACTTGACACGGGACAGGTATTCGTCAAGTCCTGTGCTCAACTCGCCATAATGCCGCACAGGTAGATCCACTGGATAGGGTTTCACTTGAAAGACGACATTTGATATGTTTACGCAGTTAATAACACGGACCTTTAATTTGACGATGACATTATGGCACACTTTTTAGCAATGCTAAATTACTTAATTAGTAGTAGCACTTTATTGATTGTTGCAGAACTGCACTTATGAGAGTGTTGACAGTCTGACTGGCTGGCGAACATAGCGCGAGAGAATGTTTGCATGCAAAACAAACCTTTAAAACTCGTTTTAAAATGATCAATTTTGGGAATGCTAGAAAGCCTGTCCTTACCTTTTAAACTACTCTCCAGTTTAGACTTGGATTCCATTTTGATAGTTGCTCGACCTTTGAATGTTTCTCAACAAACGTGCGCCATCTAGTGACTATAAAGTACGAAGGGGAGAAATTAATTCATAAATATTTTAACAGTCCAGAAGTCTTCAGGTCTTCGTGAATAGTCTACATAGTCTGAGCAGACACCTCCTATTACATAATGTATACAATTCAGTGTTGCATTTTAGCTTGGCATATATGCAACTTGCATATAGTGTCATAATATATCACCAGCATTATCATCATCATTAGGATTTATTTCAGTCCTCACATTTTTTTTATAATAAATATAGATAACTATATACATTAACCAAAAAAGCTGTAGGCTGAAGCCTTAGCTTATTATAGCTACCCTTCTTCATTATAATAAGTGTCACCTTCGATCATTGGTTTAATTTAATCTACACTAAAAAAAAA